GGACCAGTGCTCAAAGGTCACCTTATCAGAAAGTCCTCCTCTCACCATCCTTCCCATTCTCTCCTTCCTTAGCCTGCTTTGTCCTTCCTGCTAACCCTTACCAGAATCTGATGTGTAGTACATTCGTCTGTCCACGGCTCACTGTGTCTGTCTGTAAACCTAACGGAGTCAGGGACTACTTTTTGCTCCCTTCTGTATCCACACTGCCTAAAACCATGATGGGCTGCGGTGAGCACTCAATATCGTTGCATGCACTAGCCCATTCAGGGGTATGTCTCCCCCACCCCACCCAGAACCCTCCACTTAACCTCAGTGAAACCCCAAGCCTCTTGCATTGTAATCACGTAGAGGTTCCCTCCCACATGATCCCAGCACATCCTTCATGTGACACGTTTATTCTCCCACTTTTCTGGTGGCCATTCTTTCCAGAATGACGTGGTGATGTTTTCTGCTCTGCAGTCCTGCCAGTGCCTTCATGTAGTAGTAAGCATGTTGGTGAGAATTTATCATATTTCAGATTCTTTTTTCAATAACAGAATCTTCTAATGAATCCCCGCTGTTTGAGGAAATCTAATTTTTCAGTACAAAGTGTAAGACAGAGAAAAAATTGTCCCCTTGTCCAATCCCCTTCACAAATGCCAAGGAAGGGAAGAAAGGAAGGAAAGTGCGAGGAACGTAAAACTGAAATCTCCAATGGAGTCAAGAATGCAGCACCAGAGTCACACAGGTCATCTCTTCCGCTGGTGTCCCCACAATATGGTGCATATCCAAACAGATGCGCTCCCCAGAAGGATCTTTCTGCCCTCTCAATCACCAAATGGATGGGAGAAATTGAACGTAAAATCTCAATCTAGGTCATTTTGGCGGAATCCTTGTGACAGTCACTGATTCTGTTTATATTTGTTTCCTGATGTCACCATCAACCTCCATGAAAAGGCCTTCTCTTATATCCTTTTGTGCACAAAATATTAATACTAGTGAGGTGGCAAAAAATACTGACAGTGACATTTATTGGGTGCTTTGACCCATCTCCCAGTGTTCTTAGTGCCTTTTTTTTTTTTTTACTGCATTCTCTTTCAGTCCTCAACAAAAGCCTTTGAGGTAGCTATTACTAATATCTCCATTTTAAAGATGATAAAACTGAGAAACAGAAAGGAGGTTGCCCAAGACCACACAGCTAGAAAGTGATAGAGACAGGATTTGAACTCGGCTGGTTTTGATTCTGGAGACAATGTCCTTAGTCACCATTTTTATTGTCTCTCTAGCCACTTAGCTGGGGAAGAAACATAGCTTTCTGTTTTGATTTGTGACTAAATTTTAGTTATCTATTCCATATTCAAATAGCCTGGGTTCTCCCCAAAAGTTTGATGGCTGGAGGTCAGACGAATGCTGTAAACTGTGCTCACTACTTATGGACTGGCAGCTCCACCAAGATGAAGCAGTCCTGCCTTGTCCCAGCTCATCCTCAGCCTCCCACTGCCCAACACGTAGTGGGGAAATAATAAATATTGTTTCCCCAATGAATGAGTAAATTTGTTTCTTACTGTTTATGACTGTTGAATACTCCTCTTATCTGATCTCTGATACATGTAACACAGGAAACATGAAAGGAAAGGCTCAGGCCCCTCATAATCTGCTTTCTCCTTAAATAAGCAAGCAGTTAAAGAATATAAAACTGGGGTTTTCAGTTTTAATTATCCAAATGGTTGTTATAATCTTCCATTTTGCTTTTATGTGCAAATACAGACTTACTGTAAACCACATGCATTAGTTAGGGCAGCACTAGCTGTTGTAACTCATAAAACCTCTAATATTAGGGGCTTAATACAATGGAAGTTTATTTCTCACTCATGGTGATTTAGGGACGCAGGGTTCTTTTACCTTGCGGCTTCACCGTCCCCTGGGGCATTGGAGTCTGCTGCTCCCAGCTAGGCAACGTGGGGAAGGCACACCCACACAACACCCTGGCCAGGAAGCAACAAACCTCCCTTCTGCTCATGTTCCATTAGAGAGAACTAGTCACAGGGCCACGCTGGGATGCAGGGAGGCTGGGAAATCCATCCCTGGCCGAGCAGCTGTCTGTCAGCTCTATGCATGGAGAAGCACAGATTTTTGGTAGTCAGCTTCCTTCCTTCTGCCGCAGTGAAGAATGAGCACTTTCCCTGGTTGCTGTTTAGGATGTCCACCAGCAAACATATTTAATTTACAAATGTTACAATTTAGGTAATTTTCCAAACCCCGTGTAGAAAAATGGACGAACAGTATCAACTAAAGCACTGGCATTAATTGATGTGAGCTTGGAATAGAGGTCAGAATAAATCCTGACTCAGGCAGTTACTCTTTACCTTCCTGAGACTCAGTTTTCTCAACAGTGAAATGGGAATCATAATACCCACCTTGCAGTTTTTACGATGATTAGAGGTAATTTATATATAAAGGTCCTGGCAGACAGTAGATAAATGATTACTGATATTACTATGGGTTTTGAACAAAGATTTCTTGAGAAAGTGAACATACTTTTTTCTTTTAAATTGCTTTGGAAATGGTGTAATAAAGGATGAGTAATGAGCCTTATGCAAATATCATATGTAGGATAGTGTGGATATCAGACTCCTAAATGCAGGTGTTACAATATCTGTCCTTTATCTAGGATGAAACTAGAAATCAGAGTCTAATCAAGCAGTATAATTAAAGTACTTGTAATTGCCCAGAATTCTAGTAGAAGCCATACAAGATGAAAAGTAAGTATATTAATAGATAGCCATGGTTTGAGTGTATATGTTATATTTCTTAATCCTGTTACCACCACCAATACCACATATATTATCATTGCCATTCTGCAGATGAGAGAACTAAGGCATAAAGGGGGAAAATAATTGTCTAAGACAATTATTCTAAATAATTGCATAGTAAGTGGTAGGACAGGGATTTGTTTTTGTTCTGTTTTTAAATTTTTCTTATTGTAACATAGTTAATTGTACATATCTGTGGGGTACAGAGTTGACTATCAACACCTGTGTTCAATATGTGATGCTCAAATCAGGATAATTATATTCAACAAAATACAATGTAATCATTTTTTGTGGCCCTTTACCAATTCCTCCTTTACCCCTTCTCCCCCTTTCCCGCCTCCGGTGACCTCAGGGAACAGGGATTTGAACCCAGGCTGTCTGACTCTTGAACTCAAGCTCTTAATCAAGGAGCCTGGGCTCTTGTTATAGGAAATGCTTTTTCTGTGTGAAAATACTTGCACAATGTATGCTAACATTGTGCTGAAGTGTGGTTCAAATTATAAATGCTGTAGGAATTCAGTCTGGAGAGGAACTCCCAGTGCTGGGCATGACTGTGTGCCAGGCATTGTACTGGGAGCTTTCCATCCTTCCCATTTAAGGAGAGGTTGCACAGCATGTATGGAAGGGGAAGAGCAGGAGCTTTGGAACTGGACAGGTAGGGTTTAAATTCTGGTGCTACTATTTATAAGCCATGTAATCTCCGGCAAATTAGTAACCTTTCAGATGTAGTTTCCTCAATTGAAAATAGGGATTATAAAAGCTACCTCACAGAGGAGGGTACTGTCAGAAAATGGTACTAATATGTGATAGCTGCTGTCCATTCAACAGGTACCAATTAAGTCCCATGCACTTGGAGTAACATTTCAGCTAGAATAAGCTAGATTATGCTGCTGTAACAAACGGCACCCAAAACCTCACTGGGTTAACACAACTTCTTTTACTTTCCCAATGCAGGTTGGCTGGGACTGTTCTGTCATCCTTACATAGAGACCCAGGCTGGCTTGGGGAGGCTCCAACTCTGTACTGCCATGATGTAAGATGGAGAAAGAGGACATGGTGATTTGCTCACCAGCTCTGAACATTTCCACATGGAAGCAACATATATTACTTCTGTTCTCATTCCATTGGCTTAAGCAAGTCAGTTGGCCACATCTAACTTCAAGAGGATGGGATAGTGGATTCCTACATCCCAGGGGAGGGAAAGAACCTGAAAATATATAGTGCACAGTTTTAATTACCACTACAGACACAATCTGTTTATGTATAAAAGAGATCTGCTAATCCATATTTTAAGAAGAGGAAACTGAGGCTCTGAGAGGTTGTCATTTGGCCAAGGTCACACAGCCAATTCCCTGGGGAGTCAGGACTCAACCAGCATGCTATTCACCCTGACTCTTGAATCTACACGCACAGCGTCTACAGACTTTTTATAACAGTTTCAGGATGGGGGCAGGGAGGCCCTGCAAATGTGGTGGACAGAATAGGAACGGAATAAACATGGCCTTTGTGTTTGTGTTTGCTCCTGCGGAAGGCAGAAGGGGCAGAGGGGTTCATGTCGAGCCTCAGTGGAAGAAAAGTTTGCACAGATAAGCATACCAAGCACCAGCGCGTAGCAGAGGCACGTGTGTGGAGGTTATGATGTTGACTGCAGCGTTTCAGGCCATTGTTACTCTGGCAGCAGGGAGGGGTCTTCCGGGGAGGGCAGGCTCTTGCAGGAGTCCAGGGTAAGGTGATAAGGGGTAGGCAGGAGTGAAGACAGCAGGAATGCAGAGGAAGGGACTCCTGAGAGCTGCAGAAGCAGCTCCAGCGCGGTTCACCGGTAGAAAAGTGCCCAATCTCCAGGCGATTCGCAGAACATACCGGACACTCTCACACTGCACTCTTCCTATCCCAGTCTGGTACACCGCACCATTTATCGAAACATTCCCTAAGGCCTCTCTCTCTTGCCTTCTTCCTTATTTTTCCTTGCCTCTTAGGAGAGCGGGGGTGGGGGTGGGTGAGGGGCGCGAAGGGCAGCCTCGCAGCGGCTGGAGGCCCTTGCTGCCTGACCTCACCTTGTGGGGTACGGTCCCCGTTAACATCGCCAGGATCTGGCCCTTCCACCTAAAAGAAAGCTCCCTAGGCCTAAGGGGGTCCTGGAGGCCCGCAAGTCGCCTCTCGCTCAGCAAAGGGGTGGCTCAGCAGGCCCGGGACCCTGATCCTCCCCAGGTCCCCGGTTTGCCCACCTCCGATGGCGGCCTTCGCGGGCAGGGTGGCTGTCCCCGCGGACCCAGCTCCGTCCCGGCGCCTATAGCAACCCGTCTCTTCCGCGCCCCCAACACTCCTCCCCTCCCGGGCGGCTGCCCCGGTCGGGGTCCTGGACGGTGTCGGCGGCTGNGGCGGCCCCGGAGCCCAGGAAGCCGCACGGGGTGAAGCGGCATCACCACAAGCACAACTTGAAGCACCGCTACGAGCTGCAGGAGACCCTGGGCAAAGGCACCTACGGCAAAGTCAAGAGGGCCACCGAGAGGTTTTCGGGCCGAGTGGTGAGTGGGGAAGTCCCCGGGGGGCGCCGGCTAGACGCGGCTGGGAGCCGAGGGCGAGACGGGCGGGGGTCTGCAAGCTCCGGGTTTCTCTTGACCGGGAGGGGGCTCCTCGGGAACCCCTCAGACAGACTCCTCATCTCCCCCCAGCACCCCGTGACCCAGGCGAGTCTCTCTCCCAAAACACTTGTTACATCCTGTCTGCACATATTTTGTTGTTTTTTTGTTAAAAAAAAATCCCAGCAGCAAAGTAGTGTTTAGGGTTTGCAAACACTTTGCGGTGTTGGGACCGTCGGTGTCTCCCTTGCGGGCACGCATTCAGACCATGCCCAGGAATGCCTTATTTCTACAACTCCAAAAGCACCCACATCCTCAGCTCAGAGCTGGTCCTTCCAGTCCCTTGTCTTGTAGGGTCTCTACCCCGCCTTCCCCTCATCTACCCACAGACCCTTTCTTTGCATCCTCTCACTTGGACCCCCCCCCCCCCCCCCCCCCCCCCCCCCCCCC